ACGAGCAAGAGAGGGACAACGGACCCAGTGGTGAAGAACTAGGGACTGCAGACGAAGGGGAACAGGAGACAAGTCCGGGGACGGAGGAGAGCGTGGGGGAAAACGAGCGGGAGAGGATTCCAGAGGAGGGAACAGCGGGTCGTAAACAGGGTAACGCACTGGAGGAGGGACGGGCGGTCGGTAAGGGGAACCGGGAGCAAGACCAAGGAGGTGAAGAGCAGACTGCGGCTGCTCCTGCTGCTGCGGCGGCGTCTGTTGCTGCTGCTGCTCTCTGTCCTTTCCAGGTTCTCCAGCTGCACCTCGGCTACCACTGGCACTCCTCAAAACAGCACCCCTAGGACTAGCAACCTCGGATGTACCACCCACAGAACCAGCACCCCTAGAGTCAGCACCTCCAGAATGCGCACCCCTAGAACCAACACTCCCAACACCAACCCCACCAACACCAGCGGCCCCAACACCAACACCGCAAACACCAGTACCCCCAGAGCCAGCACCCCCAGAGCCCACTGCTCCGTGCTGCTGCTGCAATCGCTGAGTCTGCTGCGCAACGGCTGCTGCTGCAGAGGCAAAGGAGGAGGAGGCTGAGGTTCATGGAGTACCGAGGCTGGGGGAGGTGCCACAGGGACAGAAGGCGCCCTCACAGGAGCTGGCCCCCCAGAGTCAGCCGACTCCCCCACGTGCCCAACCGAGGGGAACTGAGTGGCGTGGGATAGACAAGACTGGGCCAGGCAGGGTAGGAGGGGTGCGGTAGGCGGGGCAGGGACAAGGAAGAGAAGAGGAAGAGGCACAGGAGTGTTGCGGTGTGGAAAGCGTCGGTAGAAGGGGAGCATCTCATCGAAAGTAACGTCACGAGAACTGTAGAAGCGGTGGTGTGCCTGGTGGTAGAAAAGCCAGGCAAGGGCGTCAAGCGGAAAACCCATGAAGACGCAAGGAAGGGTGCAAACTGAGAGCTTGTCCGCGCCAGTATCGCGGATGTGAGCAAGGCTGCCCCAAACATAGAACGCAGATGCGTCACCACGAGACCCGGTCCAGGGAAGGGTCGACGAAACTTGTGGCCGCTGGGAACGCGGCCACAGGTTATTCTGGTGAGCAGCGTAGCGCACTACAAACGGCCACAGAAAATGGGGTGCATCGGCATGGACCATGTAGGTGTGGGCTACCTCTATGACCAGGCCAATGCGTCGCTCAGTGACCACACTCTGCTGTGGGGAGTCCGGTAGTGTGTACGTCTAGTGGATGCCCTCTGCACGACAGAACTGTCCTAGAGTGCTAGAGGCGAACTCGCCACCACGGTCAAAGTGTAAGCAACCTACCGGCATGCGGTAGTGGGTGTGAACAGCAAGAAGCCACAAGAGGAGAACGATAGGCATGTCGGCCTTCCACTCCAACGGGAACACTGTGGTGAGTCGCAAGAAGTTGTCAACGACGACTAGGAGGTAGCGCTCCCGACTAAGACCATGGACCTGGGCAGGGCCTAGACGTCCATGTGCAGTGTCTGTAACGGAACTGTGGTAGGAGGAAATGAGGAGGAGTGAGGGGTGGCACACTGCCAGCCCTCGACGTAGGAGGTGCACAGTGGTGCTACAGACGGAGGAAGAGCGGGGAGCGACACAGGGAGACCAGTGACTGGACCGTGCTGGGACATGCGCCTAAGACGCGGGAGTGCAGGGTGACCTAAGCGGTGGTGCCACAGAAGGATCGGGTGGGCTAGTGAGCGACAAGAGCAGGACACGGGGATGTCGACAGGCGCAGCAGTCGGCCGGGACTCAGTGTGCAGTGTAAAATGACCTGATCGTGGCTCACGATCAAAAGTGGCTAAGTGTCTGTGGATGTGTCTATGCAAGCGGCATGTCTCTCGCGGCCAGGGAACGTAGTGGTGACGCCTCGGTGCTGGAGGTGACCAACACCCACTAGGTTCCTAGCAAATGAGGGGATGTTCAGACCGGTGATGGAGCCGGAAGAGACAGGTGGACAGGGGAGTGTGGTTGTGCTACATGCAATAGCTGTGGCGAAGGATTTTGCTAGTGTGACATGGACAGGCGTAGGAAGTGGGGTGAGAGCAGTACTGTAAAAAAAAAAACAATGAGACATGCCAGAGTCCAGGACAAATGAGAGGGCCAACGTGGCGGGGCCCAGTAAAGAGACTCTAACAGATCCTATGCCTGACGCAGTAGGGGATTCTATGCCTGATGCAGCAAGGCATCCTAGACTATACGGAGTAGTAGCTCCTAGGCTACAAACAGCGGGATGATAAGAACCAACAACACTAGAAGCATCAGAATACAGAGAATACAAGGTATGATCGATCTGAATCATATCCATATCAAAAATAGGAACCCCATGACGAAGCAAGACAGGCCAGGGGGGTACCTACACCAACGGGCCGAACTGACGATGGTACAGGTCGTCCAGGCGGCAAAAGCAATGAGTGGCAGTGTGCCCCGCACGCCCGCACACCTTGCCCGTCTGCGGGCTAGTCAGCAGCTAGTACCTGCTGGTCACCACGCCACTAGAACCACCAGCACCCTGACTCACAGAAGAGCCACCCGACCCCAAGGGCACTGACTTCTCTGGGCCCCAACCCCTACGGCCTCCACCACGACCACCATCCCAAGAGCCCGTCGGCCCTCACAGCAGCTGCGGCTGCTGCTGCTGCGCAGTCCCCAACTCCGACTGGTCACCCTCTCCATCTGCACCCGCATGCCCTCCACCCGCTGTTGCCGACCCCACACGATCCTTGCCCACCTTGCCCTACCGCCAGAGGAGTGGCCGGGGGCAGGTGCTTCATGCCAATGTTGCTGACTCCTGGAGGCAACGCGAGAATCCTCAAGTGACTGAGGGTTGTCAGGTGCTGCCCCCTCCTCCCCCACACCTGTTGATGACAAGTTCAGTGACTCTAGTGTTGCCAGCCTTCCCAGGTGCACCATGCTGGCAGAGGTGAGGGACAGGCAGCCACTAACCCGGAGTACTTTGAGGTTACACAGGCCCTGCAGCTTCTCAATTCCAGCATTCGTCACCTTTGTGTTGCTCAGGTCCAGTTCACGCAGCCTCTGCAGGCAGATGATGCCGTCAAAAGCAGCGTCTGTTGTGGTGATTTCCATTAGATTTAGAAACTGCAGCTGCATGGCGGCAAAGAGCCCATTGATTCCTACAGACGTGAAGCCTGATGATCCCCGAAGGTCAATGTATTCAAGGCGGCCTAAGCTGCTGAGACGAAAGAGAGCGGCATATGAGAGGGATGAGATTTCATGTAGATTGAATTCCATTACTTGAGGCAGTGCTGCGGCCCCACAATTCCATCAATGCCTGCCGAAAAGCATTCAGTGAAAGATTGTAGACGACACACGGAGCGTGATCCGCACAATTGCATGACACCACACAGCTGGCATGATGTTTAAAGAAAAGCATGTGACACTCCACAAGACCAAACGTGCAGCCCATTTGGTGCGACACAAGTGATCTAGGTGATGAGAAGTTCTCGGCTGCTAGATTAGTGTCACTGTGTGTCGCTGATGTCGCTGATTTTGCTGCTGCTACACTGGTCTCGCTATTGCAACACTAGTGCCGCTGTTGCTAGATTCGTCTCGCTGCTGAAAGATAGGTTAAGGTGCGCAAGAATAGTGTTCTTATGTCTAGAGCTCACGACTGACGAAGGTGATGGGCGGGAAAGGCAGATCCAAAATGCATAACTCCCATAGGACGTGGTTTCTCATCGGGGTGCTAGATGTCAGTCCGGCGCTACAGCTTCTCTGTTTCTGTAACTTTCGTATGACATCTCATTTTTTCATGACGGTCGCTTTGTACCTGACCCCCGTCTCCCCTCCAGAATCAGCCCAACAAGCAGAAACTTATACAGTTCACAACACCTCATCGTTCCAGACTCCCGCTGGGTTTGAAACGGGTTTGGTCAAATTCCCTCTCTAAACAAGAAACGTTGAAGCTCCTTGATCGGTTTTCAAATCGCTACCATTGATTCCCAAGTGTTGACGAAAACCCCCCCACCAGCGATTCCTGCCGCAAAGCTCTTAGGGCAGCCTTCGTGTACGTGGTAATTTGCTGTGGTGATTCGTTATAGCATTTTCTTAACCTCCCGACGCAATTGTTACAAATCCGGATGGTTGTGAATCGAAGCTGAGGGTTTTTGGTCCGCCCCCAATTTCCGGTAACTCGTGTATCTTTTTTAGGACCGGTTACCTTAATGAAATCAATCCTTCAAAATATCGATTTCGAGGACTTGTAATATGGTAACCACGTGGTAATCACTATACAGTCAAACTTGAGCTGGATGGAACACCAAACATCGATTTTGGCAATCGATGTGCCACAGCGATCAGGCCAGTCGACGATCGATTGACCAGCACGCGCACGCAGATCAAAAGTACCGATCGCGCCAGATTGTGCGACTAGCTGGGAGTTCCTAAATTCGCTTTGATTTTTGTGAAAATGAAAGGTGGGACAACACAAGGCGCCTTGACAATCCACCACTCCAACCGCGAATTTTCATTTGGGTTGCCCAATGTGTTGCAAATGTCGTGAACTGTCGTGAAAGGTTGGCTGCAAAAGCATTGTCGATTTTGGGGGACCACGCGCCAGGAGCGCGGGGGTGCGTGGCTGACTCGAGAGGTGATCTGTAAAATCGCTTTGCTATATTGATGCAGCCAGCAGTCGTCATTATCGATATTGCAAACCGATATTTCCAGCCAATCCTTCGATTTTCATTAAAGCCCAGATCCCAAGTTGCAAGGCACGAGTTTTTTTGCTAGCAATGTCGCGGCGCAAAAAAAGTAGGTAACCCCATGCACCCGGATGAAACTGAACAATGACGCAGTGGCTGTAAAGGCTCGTGATTGGTCGAAAGGCAAGCAAACACCTTCGCCCAAGCAGCCCAGCCCATAGCTCTCTCTCAGCTCAAATGACTAAGGGAAAGTTGCTATCAATTTTAGTAAATTGGGACCCAGGCGAGATCGACTAGTGACTAAAAACTAGCCAGCATACGAGGTTTCTCGCGCGCGTAGCCATGTCTCTCTCACTCTCTCTCTCCCTCTCTCTCTCCCTCTCTCCCTCTCACTCTCAGCCTATCTCTCTCTCTCTCTCTCTCTCTCTCTCGCTCTCTCTCTCTCTCTCTCTCTCTCTCTCTCTCTCTCTCTCTCTCTCTCTCTCTCTCTCTCTCTCTCTCTCTCTCTCCTCTCTCCATCATGTTCCTCTCTTCTGTTTTTCCAATGGCTCTCTCACTCTCTCCATCTCTCTCTCTCAATCTCTCTCTCTCTCTCTCTCTCTCTCTGTTTCTCTCTCTCTCTCTCTCTCTCTCTCTCTCTCTCTCTCTCTCTCTCTCTCTCTCTCTCTCTCTCTCTCTCTCTCTCTCTCTCTCTCTCTCTCTTTCTCTCTCTCTCTCTCCGATGACGGATTTCTAGACCCAACTCTCTTGTAGGGGTAGTCCCACGCAGGTTTCTTTTGCCTCTCTTGTTTGGTGCCTTCTGTTTCCACCGCCGCCTTGCACTCCCGCGTACGAACCTCGACACACGCTGTTTGTAGTTTTGTTTGCCGTCGCCGTTTCCTGATTGACCCTGCCGTTGCAGGGCGCTCTTTCTGTTGCTTGCCCCTCCTTTACAAATATCCGACCTGGTGTTGGAGCTTCCCTGGGCGTTTGTTTTTCCTTGCGCGTTCAACCATCTCTTTTTCTCGTTTTGCGCCGACCGACTGCCAACGCGCAGTTGGTTCTGCCCGTTTCTAAATCCCCGCGATGTGCATTCCTGTCCCCGTTTTTCCTTCCCTGCATTTTCGGTCGTGGTATGCGTCCGTTCTGCCACCCCGGCTCCACGTTTTTCGTGAGGTGTTGGCGTTGCTTGCTGCTACGGCTTCGCTTTGCTGTATTTTAGATCCTTCTACTTTTCCCGCTTATTGACTATTTTTTTGTTTCCGTCGTTTGTTCGCGTTGTCATCCAAACGCTCGAATCTTGTCTGTCAGAGCCGCCGCTGTTCCCGCTGGGTTGAACGCGGCCATTTTCTCACAGTGTTTGCTCTTCTATTGGCTGTGTCCGCGTTCTTAATGGGCCGTAACCATTGATTGGCGGAAAATCGGGGTGTTATGGGTTTGTGCTCGATGGTTTGGTATGGTTTCCAGGGGTGCACAGATTTGGATTATGCTGCGGTTGGGCCCAGATCGGTTGAGTGGTGTTAGGCTGGATTTGGCGCCTCTGACAACAGCGTGAGTCACGCCCAGTCTGGGGTGCACTTCGAGCTGGTTGTGGGGTTTCTCTGTGTTCCTCACTGAGTTTGTGGGCAGCGAAATGGGGGCCCTTTTGGCGATTGTCGTTTGTTTTTTTTTCCATTTTGTTTTGCGCGTGGTCGTCTGACCCCATTTCTACTCGCCAAATTCGCAACCAATCGGAAAATTACAGCTCCATTCCGAGATGCGCTCGGCTTTCGCGCCTTGTAAAATGGGACCGGGGCTTTAAAGCCCAAGTCCCAGATTAGAAAAACGAGTCAGGTCAACGCTGGTTGAGGCTCGGCAATAGGTAGAGACGAGGTTTGGGAAGTTGGCGAATCTCCCAGGGTCGCGAAAACAATTTACGAAAGCAAACCCATGGTCGCGAAGACACGGAACTCGCCAGCACGCCGCCACAAGCTAACCCTGGAAGTTCTCAGCATGCGCACTTGACGATTAGTGGGAGGGGAATGCAATCACAAACCATTTCCACCGTCTGAAACTACTCTGCCTTCCCGAGTTGCTGAACTGGGTCGAATTTGTTGGCAGAACTGAAACTCGTCCACACCTTTCCCCGTCGCCTCTCCTCCAAAAACACCAAGGCATTGAGACGCAGACTGTCTGAGATACTGTAATAGGGGAAACCATAGTTGGCGTACTTTAAACCACAAGCCAGACTGCCAGCGAGGCCACCACTGTAGCTCGTATAGAAACAGGGCAGTGCGAGTGGCAACCATTTCTGCAGGCCTCTACTTTGGTACATGACAGCGACATAGCTTGTGAAATGCGGAGTGAGAGGGTAAATGCGGAACGAGAGGGGAAATGTGGAATGATAGGAGAAATGCTGGTCAGGTGCGGCGAAATGCGGCACAAGAGGAGAAATGCGGGAAGAGCGGGGAAATGCGACACTGGAGGGGAAATACGGGAATGAGGAGAGAAATCTGGAATCCGCATGGGGGAGTGCGGATATAGAGGAGGAATGCGGAAATAGTGGGGGGAGGCGGATTTAGAGGGGGGAGGTGGAATGGGAGAGGGGAAGTCGGATTGAAATGAGGGGAACTTGGAATGAGAGGGAGAGGAAGTTCGAGTGAGGGGGAGGGGAAATCAGAATGAATGAGGGGAAGTCGGAATGAGAGGGAGGGGAAATTGGAATGAGAGGGAGGGGAGGTCCGAATGAGAGGGAGGGGAAATCGGAATGAGAGAGGGGGAGCCAAGACCAGGGGAAAAGAAATGAGTGGGGAGAATTCCGAATGAGAGGGGAGAAGGCAGAGTGAGATAGACAAAGGCGGCACGAGGGAGGATAAGGCGGAATGAGAGAGTGGGAGGTGGAATGAGATAGGAGAAGGCGAGTAGAGAGAGAAGTGGGGATGAGAGAGGAGAAGTCGGAAAGAGAGGGAGGCTAATGCAGAACGAGGGAGGGGAAGGCGGGTTGAGGGAAAGGAATGAGGAATGGGGGAGGGGAAGGCGGGATGAGGGAGAGGAATGCAGAATGAGGGAGGGGAAGGCGGGATGAAGGAGAGGAGTGAGGATTGAGAGAGGGGAAGGCGGGGTGAGGGAGAGGAATGAGGAATGAGGGAGGGGAAGGCGGGATGAGGGAGGGGAAGGCGGGATGAGGGAGAGGAATGAGGAATGAGGGAGGGGAAGGCGGGATGAGGGAGTGGAATGAGGATTGAGAGAGGGGAAGGCGGGGTGAGGGAGAGGAATGAGGAATGAGGGAGGGGAGGCTGGGATGAGGGAGAGGAATGAGGAATGAGGGAGGGGAAGGCGGGATGACGGAGGGGAATGAGGTGATGGCTTTAGTTGATGGCTTTAACCATCTATTCCCCTCCCGTACTCATCCTGACTCTTCACACCCCACTGCTCCCCCCTCATCCTACACTTCTCTGCCTCCTCCCCATGTTACAGGTCTTGGGTGTCGTTTCGCGGCGACCAGACTACATTGCCCCTGCAGTCGTTGCGGTGGCATGGAATTGTGGGATTCCCCCGCTGTGTGCCCGGCTTGCGGAGGCGCCTGCTTGGCGGTGACTCCCGTTCGGACCAATATTTGCAGTACATGTCGTACATTTGTGCATTTTGTTGGCTATTCCCCATTTCGTCCCATGAAACTGCGCCAAAATCATAGCAAAATCTATGTCTTGATTGTCAAACATACATCTTTGTATTATAGACTACACAGGGTTGTGCCTTAGAGAGTACAACCCACTAGGTTATATTCCCTTGTCTGCCATGTTTCTAGAAATTTGTTAACCTTGACATGGTATCATGAGTAGGTTAGGTCCCCCCTGCCCACTAGGGCTTCCGCCCTAGGTCCTAGCCGCCCTGTTACCCTCCCGCTCGTGCTGGCCCATCCCCTAGTGGCCCCCGTCGCCTAGCCGGCCTCGTTGCCTAGCCGGCCCCGTAGCCCAGCCGGCCCCGCCTCCTAGCCGGCCCCGTCGCCTAGCCGGCCCCATCGCCTAGCCGGCCCCGTCACCCAGCCACCCCCGTCGCCTAGCCGGCCCCGTAGCCTAGCCGGCCCCGCCCCGTAGCCGACCCCGTTGCCTAGCCGGCCCCGTCGCCCAGCCGGCCCCGTCGACCAGCCGGCCTCGTAGCTCAGCCCGCCCCGCCTCCTAGCCGACCCCGTCGCCTAGCCGGCCCCGTCGCCCAGCCGGCCCCCTGCCCCATAGCACTGACTACTCTTCGGGCACTGCTACACGTAGCAGCACAGCGTGACTACGAGCTGCACTCCCTCGACTTCTCCACAGCTTTCCTCCAGGGTAGTGTACACGAGCAGGTCTACCTGCGCCGCCCCCAGGGCTTCTCCGGTACTTTTCCCCCTGGTACCGAGTGGCTCCTCCGGCGCTCCGTCTACGGCCTGCGACAGGCCCCCCGTGAGTGGCACGACTCGCTGCGTGCGACACTTGCTGACCTGCAATACTTCTCGTCGTCTGCAGACACCTCGCTCTTCGTCTATTCCGGCCAGACTCCGTTCTACATCATTGTCTACGTAGAGGAACTGGTCTTTGCTATTGCAGACACAGACGCGTTGGCCTCCGTGAAGGCCGAGCTGCTGAGGAGACACACCTGCACTGGCCTAGGAGAGCTGCGCCGCTACCTTGGCTTGCAGATCTCCAGGGACAGAGCAGCGTGCACCATCACTCTCACACAGTCACACTTGGTGTGCCAGGTCCTTCAGAGGTTCGGCCTTCAGTTCTCTTCCGCACAGCCCACCCCTCTACTAGTAGACCACAGACTCTCTGCTCCAGTCCTGGAGGAGGCTGTAGAGCGTAGTGGCCCCTACACAGAGCTGGTGGGTTGCCTCATGTACCTGATGACTTGCACTCGTCCAGATCTCGCATACCCTCTCAACATCCTGGCTCATTTTGTGGCCACCGGCAGACACCGAACACAGCACTGGTCGGCAGCTACGATGGTTTTGCGTTATCTAGCAAGTACATCGGGCTTGGGGCTAGTGCTAGGAGGACGCAGACTAGTGGTCCCTACCGGACACAGAGGCGCTTCTTGGGCCGACGACGCCGAGACTCTCCGGTCCTCCCAGGGCTACTCCTTTAGCCTTGGTGCAGGTGTTGTCTCGTGGCGGTCCACCCCTTCGTCGTCTCTTGCCCAGTCTAGCTGTGAGGCTGAGATCTACGCTGGTGCCATGGTGGCACAAGAGCTCCGTTGGCTGACATCCTTGCTCACAGACTTAGGTGAGTGGCCTAGCTCTGCCCCAGTTCTGTACGCTAACAACATGGCCATGATCCTCCTGTTTCAGGAGCCCAGACTCGAGGGCAGAATGAAGCACATCCAGCTGCGGTAATTCCTCTTGCGCGAGCTACAGCATCGTCGCCAGGCCCGCATAGTACACTTGGCCTCCGGTGCCAACACAACTGATATATTTACGAAAGCGCGCCTAAAGATCATCAGCGGCACTGTGTACAGCTTGGTCTTGTTCCTGTAGCCTCTCATTTGCTAGGACCTTGATTGTGTACAGACCTATATATATATTACCCTGACTGGCCTTGTGGCCTCTTCCCTGTGGATGGACTAGTAGTGCCGCCCTGGTTTTGCTCTTGCCTTGTCTGTACTTGTTTGACTGGTCTTACACTTTGGCACGTAGACACGCTCATCTCTTTCTCCACAGGCTGGTTTGGCTAGTGTAACCACGAAGTTTGCTGGCCCGACCAGCAAGCATGCGACTACCGTTAGCAATACACTTTCCTCAGTGAATGACGCACAGGCCTAGTTCTCTCTGCCCCTGCCCCACTGTATTCGAGACGGAATCACAGGGTTGGGTAAGGAGCGAAGGTGGAGGTGGATGGCCTCTCGACACATGCAAAACACGGTGGGGCAGGGGTAGGACAGTGGCGAACTGTTTGTTTGGGGGGCATGGGGATAGAGGTGGACATTTCCTTGGGGATTTTATTTTGGGGGCTAGGGCTACCCTCTCCACCTACCTCGACACACGGCATGGGCAACCCCCTCCGCCTACCCTCGCCCCATGCCTCGCCTCCTGGCTTGTGGTTTCTTCCCCTAGCCATGCCAACCCTCACGGCATGGTGTATCCTCCGCCCCGTGCCTGTGCTTACTAGAACGCCTCTCCTCCTCATCAATCCTCCCACCTATCCCCCCCGCCCTCTCCTCCTTCACCTCACATCTCCTACTCAACTCTCATACTCACCCCTTCTCCTTGCGTCTCCGCCTCACCTTACCTCGCCTTTGTTCTAATCCCCACCTCTCCTCCCCACCTCTGATCCTCCCCTCTCCTCCTCGCCTCTTCACCCCACTTCTCTTCCTTGCCTTTCCGCCTTCCTTTTCCGCTTCACCTCTCCTCCTCCCCTCTCCTCCCCCCCTCTCGTCCTCACCTCTCTGCCTCACCTCTCATCCTCTCCTCTAATCCCCACCTCTTCTCCCCACCTCTGATCCTCCCCTCTCCTCCTCGCGTCTCCGCCTCACCTCTTCCTTTCCTCTCCACCTTCCTTCTGCGCCTCACCTCTCCACCTCTCCTCCCCACTTCTGATCCTCCCCTCCCCTCCTCGCCTCTCCACCTCACCTCTCCTCCTCCCCCCCCCCCCCCCTCGTTTCGTTTCCTCATCATCAACCCCGCCTCACCTCTTTGCCTCATCTCTCCGCCTCACCTCTCCGACTCGCCTCTCCGCCTGGCCTCTCCACCTCACCTCACTTTTCCAACCCTCTCCTCCTCTCCTCGCCTTCCCACCTTCCTTACTCACCTCTCCCCCTCACCTCTCCTCCTCACCTCTCCCCCTCACCTCTCCTCTTACTTCTCGTTGTCTCCTCGAATCCCCACCTCCCCTCCTCACCTCCCAGCACCTCTCCTCCTCTCCTCTAATCCCAACCTCTCCTCCTCACCTCTGATCCTCCCCTCTCCTCCTCGCCTCTCTGCCTCACCTCTCTTCCTCTTCTCTCCGCCTTCCTTCTCCTCCTCCCCTCTCCTCCCCCACTCTCGTCCTCAGAACTGAGCCTCACCTCTCATCCTCTCCTCTAATCCCCACCTCTCCTCCCCACCTCTGATCCTCCCCTCTCCTCTTCGCCTACTTTCCTCACCTCTCTTCCTCACCTCTCCTCCTTCCCCCCCTCCTCGTTTCGAATCATCGTCGCCTCTCCTCCTCGCCTCACCTCCCCACCGTCGGCCAAGCGTTACCTCGCCGCATCGCCTCACCTAATCGCGCGGTCGCCAACTTTCCGTCTCGTCGCGCCACATGTTTCGCGCCCATTCTCTCCTCTCCTCTCTCAATCTTAGCTACGTACGCCCCACATCGTCGGCTCTGTGGCTCTACTACTAAGTTAGGTCTGCGTTTAGCGGCTGGTGCGGCGATTGATGTCCCATATTTTCTCCACTGGCTGTCCCCAACCACCTCGAGTTGCTCCGGGGCTTTCTGGGGCAGCTCTCGTGGCCTGAGCCTTTGGCAGGTGGGTTGTGTTTGCGAAACCACTGCAGGCTGGGGTGGTGGAATATTGCGGGGAGGGGGTTGTGGCTTGGGTTACCAACCCGAACCTACATCAAACCGCCCCCAGTTTGATGGGTGGGGCCAGTTTGACTTTTCTAATATGGGACCTGGGCTTTAAGGTAACGCGCCCTGAGGACAGCAGAGAGTGAACCCGCCTTCAGAGGGTTCTGCAGGGGGGCCTTAGAGGACATTGAGAGGCCTGCCTGGAAGGCCTGTCATCTCCGTTTACTTTACAACAGCGAGCAGCACACGCTGTTGCAAGCAAGCCACCTTAGCTCACCTCACCGTCGCCAAACATGCTGACCCATCGGCCTGGATTAGTGCACGCGATGGGATATAGCCGGACGATAGCTGACGATAGACCTCTAGCACCCCCTCACAGCGCTATAGCAGGTGGCATTCCTGGAATCAACAGTTTCCTATCGGGAGGATCAGTCTTGGCTGCTCCCTACAAGGTTTCCTCCGTTCACGCTTTACTATTGAGCTGCTGTTGCGCGACGCAGATCCACGCGCCACGTCTTCCCAGATTACAGATGTCGAAGTCAGCTTGTGTTTTTAGGGTTTCGGAATCCTAGGAGACAACATATCGGTTTAATCGCAAGTCTGTTTCTACCCTCTAGTAGCCATGCCTGCTGTTTGACATCTGCTGCTGCGATTCGGCTGATTGACTACTCCAAGTGGGGCGATTTGGCTGTTAGCGGCGATGAGGGGAGGAGGGGGGGAAGAAGATTTCTCCCCTCCGCGACGTCGCACCAGCCTCGTCCTCTGCCCACCTCGCATCGCATAGCCAGTCGTTCCCCTCGCCTGTCCTCGCCGGCCCTCACCTCGCCTGCCCGCGCTTACATGCCGTTTCTCGTCGCCTTCTGCCTCCTCGCACTACTGAGGTTGCACGTACGCGCAAGGCGAATCGGGAGCATGCGATGTCCTTTTATCGGGTAAGGCTCTCGTAGCGAACGGAACAGCTGGCATTCAGGTGGGGCGTCGTCATGGCTTGCTCTCAGCCTTGGCTCGAGGTCATAGCTCGCTCTCCTTGTTATCTGATCGGCCTCAATCCGCACCAGATGCACCCCACGACAGCTCAGCCCGCGTGCCCAAAGAAGTGCACCCCGGCAATGATAGGCGCGCCGGCGTGGGCTGGCGGAAGGCGGAGCAGCGGCGGAGGAGGGGAGACGCGCCGATGCAGGGCGCACCACATCATCATGCGCCGCCATCTCCCTTCTCTTCGTTCTCTTACTTCTTCGTGCCTCCCACCCCCACCTTCCCCATTCAACCTCCCCCCTCATATCTCGCGTTGCTCCTCTCGCTCTCCTCATTCCCCTCCTTTCGCGTGGAGTGGACTCCCTTGAGTTTTTGTGATTTTCCCCTCGCTCCCCTTTCTTCGTCGCCCTCGTCTTCTTACCCTCTCCTTCCCCATCCTTGATGTATGAGAAGTGCCTGCGGCCTGCATTCAACTCCCCCACTCATATCAGCGGCCCCCTTTTTCCCTCTCTCCCCCCCCCCCCCCTCTTCCCACCTCTCCACTTCCTCCCTTTTTCCAGCCCGCCCCCCTTCTTCTCCTTCCCACCTTTCTCGCCCCCCCAAAGCTAGTCCGCCTACGGTCTGCAGGGCGCCTCCCCCCTTCCCCCCTCCGCCATTGCCCTCCCCCCAACCGTGCCCCCCCCCCTCCCACCTGTAGGCCTGCAGCTGGCACATGGCCTGGCGCGTTGCAAGGGGGAGGAGGGGATCAGGGGGGAGGAGCCTGCCTGGGCTAGCATGGCGCACCCCCAGCCGCAGTGGGTGAGATGAGAGCGGGTTGATGGGGTGCGTACTGTGATTCGTGGGGCGCACAGGGCGGTGGAAGGGGATCGTGCGCACTGCCTGGTGGGCGCAGGGAGGGGGGAAGGGCGGGGAAAGGGTAGGGGGAGAAACTCCTTCCGGGGCCACTCTGATTGAAGCCCCCCCCAGCTGCCGTGGGTGAGTGGGAGCAGGTAGGTACAGCGTGTGTGACGCTGGTTGGTGGGCCGGCGTGCGTTCTGCCAGGTTTCGGGATGAGAGGGGCGGCGAGATGAGGGGAGAGGCGGGTGCACCGGCTAGACTGGCGCAAGTGGTGCCTCCTCTGTCTGCATCGCTTCCACATGTGCCCTATGCACAGCGCGTCCCCTCTTGCCACATCTGCTCATATGTAGCCCCTCTCGTCGCACGCATGCCCTCGCTGCCATACCCTCGCTGCCATGCCCTCGCTGCCATGCCCTCGCTGCCATGTCCTCGCGGCCATGCCCTCGCCGCCATGCCCTCGCTGCCATGCACTTGCTTCCATGCCTGTGCTGACCATGCGGTCGACCTTCCCCATCTCCCTCACTCCCTTCCCATACCGTTGTTTTGAGTTTCCCTCCTGTCCTGTCGTCCCCACCAATCCACTTTCCCAGGTCCACGGTTCAAACGAGGGAGGCACCGATGGGCCCATGGCCTTGTGGCAGCACCAGTTCCTTATTCCCCTCTTTGTCTCCCCTCCCCCCGCGTCCCCCCTCCCCCCGCGTTCCCCCCCCCCCAGCCCCCCCCTCTCCTACCTGCCCCCAGATCAGGGGTTCGTTCGGACGCCACAAATCTATTGCGCACCAGGTAACTGCTGCTTCCAAGCTCCCTGCTCCCCATCCCTTACCTGTCACTGTTTGTTTGCCTCGATTCCGAGTTTCTCTATCTCCCCCTTCTCTCCGCCCTCCCCCATCTCTCTCTCCTCTCCCCCCAGGTCCGAGGGTCAGACGCATCCAACCTAGCGTGCACGAGGGAGGCGGAGAGGGACATCTGGCAGCACTGGTTCTCCCCGGCGACTTCAGCAGGGAGAGGCTGCTGGTGGCCTGGGTGGCCTCCCAGCACGGCATGGGGTCGCAGTTGCACATCCTCGGTGCTGTCTAGCGCCTTGCTATGAGGCATGGTCGAGTGTTGGTGCCCACTGCCACTTTTGAGAGGGCCTACCACGCTGAGTGCAATGGTGGGTGAATCATGCATGCAAGAGAGTGAAGAATGAGGAACGGTGCAGATATTCGAGCCTCGTTGCTCTACTCCCCCTACTCCCCGTTTATCCTTACCTGTTGCACTCATAACTTTCTGTTTCATCACAGTCTCTTCAAATTGTTTCCCCTCTCCCCCTCTCCAACCCCCCGTCTCCCCCAGCCACAGGCGCCCTCTCCTCCATCCAGTGCTACTTCTTCCCGCTCGTCTTACCTGCCTGTGAGAGTGCAGCAGCTGGGCAGGTGCCTGCATGCACAGCCCACGAGGAGGCGGCGAGGGACACGGTGTTGGCGAGTGCCAGCCGCGTGGCGTGCTTCCATGGGGAGCCGTACAATGGGCTGGCGCTGGAAGCACTAGTAATCAGGTGAGAGGTGGACTTGAAAGCACACGCACACACATACAAGCTTGTATGTGGTGTGCTGCATTGCTGGCTCGAGCTGGTGGGTGAGAGCTGCTTGGCGTGCTGCTATTGGGAGCTGTATAACGGGCTGGCGCTGGAAGCACTAGTAATCCGGTGACAGATGGACGTGACTTGAAAGCACGCACACACATACAAGCTTGTTTGTGGTGTGCAACATTGCTGGCTCGAGCGGGTGGGTAGCAGCCGTGTGGTGTGCTGCCATGGGCAGCCGTATAACGAATCACACGTCTGCTTGGCAGACTACCGTGCTACAGTAGCGCGGTGTCAGTTGGACTGGTTTTCTTTGTACCCTGGTGCTTCTCATGCGTGTTCCAATGCGATTCTGCTTCTTGTGGTTGGTAGAATGGAGAGTAGCGCCGTTTCTCCAAATTGAAGAGAAGGTGATGATGGGCCATGGGGCATGGGGAATTGGGCATGTGGCATGGGGCATGGGGAATGGGGCATGGGTTGGCATGGAATGCAGGGGACATTACATAAGGCATGGCAAGGCACGGCATGGCATGGCAAGGCATGGCATGGCATGGCATGGCATGGCAAGGCGTGGTATGGCATGGCATGGCAAGGCATGGCATGGCAAGGCATGGCATGGCATGGCATGGTAAGCAAGGTTAAAAAATACGGTTTCCGAAAAATACTGTCCGTTTTATACGGTCAGTTTTTTCCGATCATTTGGGAAAAAACGCCGTTTTTTTAATGGAACATTTCGTTTATATAAAAAAATGCCTAAACGTTTGCCAGATCCGCGCATTTTGCACCTAAGTAGGAAAATTTGCGTTTCGCCCGAACGCCAGGTAGGCATGAGCAAAACCGGGTAATTACCCGACCCGACCCGGTTTTGCTATACCCGACCTCGGGTCGGGTATTTTCGGGTCGGGTCCGGGTCGGGTAATATGCCAAGGACCGTTACCCGGACCCGGTTTTTTTAGGCGGGTATTTTAATACCCGCCTGGCGGGTCCGGGTATACCCGACCTGGCATAGCTTAAAGGCGGGTATTTTAATACCCGCCCTTTCAAGAAGGCCTAAAGGAGGTTTTTTTTTAACAAATCATGGTTTTTTTGTTCGTCTAACTGTCTCCTAGGGTTGAGACAGCAATATGGGCGTGGAAAAAAAAGGTTACACGCATTTAAGGGGGTTTGTTGTCACCACCACGCTACACCTTACTTGTGATGCTTGCTCGGGTTTGGTATTCATTGGATGTAGATATACCTACTATGAATAAAGTGCACACAGTTCACTCTACGTATGTTCACAATCACTTGACAAGCATGATGCCATGTCTGCATGGCCCTAGAGCTCAATGCTGGGTCCGGGCATGGCACAATGAAGGACACGAATGTACGTCACAGGAAAAACTGTTCATAGGGCCTAACCCTGTACCCACGCCTCACAACCCCTCGTCGTCACCCTCAAGGCATAGCCCCCCCATGGCCCGATCCAACGTCGCCAGTGGGAGGCTGCCGTCGGCGCGCTGTGCCATCCATGACTTGAGAGTCATGGATGCACGCACCTGAGCAGTGCTCAGGCGGTGACGCTGCCAGGTGACCACGTTCCGCCCCTGACTGAACGCCCGCTCGCTTGGTGCCGAGGTTGCAGGGATGGCAAGGTAATCTCGTGCCATTGCCTGCAACCCCGAGTACAACGAGCGCGTGCGCCACCATTGCAGCGGACACCCGTCCATGTCCAAGCGCGCCTCCTGCAGGTACCTCTAAACCTCGTCCGGCGCGGCCACTCCCGTTCTCGCCTCAACCTCTGCCATTGCCGAGCCGAGCATGTCAAACAAGCGCCCCCCACCTCGGGCCCTGGCAACACTCCCCCCCCCCCGTCCCGCGCTCCCTCTGTGCTCGTCCCCTCCTGGCCCCCGTCCACCGCACGCCTGCTCTGCTCGTCCAGGTAAGACTGCAAGCGCGCCCTGACCCATGTCACCACCTGCTCCAATGTGACGTCGCGCACCGCCCTACGCCCCCCAACGGCCACTCCCGCTAGCTCAGGGTGGGCCCCCTCCCACCGTTCGAGCTGGAAGTACAGCTGCTTGAACCTGGGATCCAAAAATGTCGCCACTGCCAGCTCCATGCTGATGCCGTACACATACTTCTTCAGTACCTTTAGAGCTGCCTCCGACAACAGCTTGCACAGCTCCCCGGTACCGGGGTCGTGGTAGAGGCGCTCAAGCTCATCCATGAGCAGGTTGTACTGCGGCACCACTGCTGCGGCAGTGGGGTACAACGACCCCTCTGCCGCAGTAGTGATGTCATGGAAGGGCTTGAGGAATTCCACCAGAACCCTCAGAGCGTCCCAATGCGCGTCTGCGAGGCGGACACGCGCAGCCTGTTTGCGCGTCCGCTTGTCACGTGCCGACTGTGGAATGGGGGATTAAGAGGAACACGCAGTAGCAGAGGGGGAAACTCAAATGCCGGGGGGGTAATACGCATGGGCGGACCTGGGAGACTGTCAGCATTTCCAAATGGATGGAAAAAATGCACGCGAATTATGGCAACCCAGGAGATTGGGAACCATACCTCGAGTCCTGAGAAGTACAGCAGGATAGGATCTTTCAGCTTTAGGAAGCGCTCCACCATCTCAAAGGACGACCCCCACCGCGTGGGGGTGTCGCTGATGAGGCGGAGAACATGGCCGCCCTGACCCGCCAGGCGCAGCTGCTCGTCCTCGAACGCGTCCGAGCGCGCCGTGCTCCACCCAATGAACGACGCAATCTCCCGCATACGCTTGAGCAGCTCGAGGACTGCTGGGACACCAAGTGCCTTCTGGACCGCGAGGTTCAGAATGTGCGCCAGACACCTGAAGGGGGAAAGTCCATTGCATGGCACGACATTGTATGGCTTGGCATGGCATGGCATGGCATGGCATGGCATGGCATGGCATGGCATGGCAAGGGGAACTGGGGAAGGGGGGGCAGGGGAGGGGGAGGGGTGAGTAGGTGGACGTGTGCAGAAGTGCCGCTATACATGGTTGGGGTGATAATCCATAACGACACGTGGGAGGTTGAATATGCGCAGATGTGAACGAGCGCATGTGCTTAGAAACTTGTCTCCGTCAATTCTTACAGAGGGGCGGTCGACCAGGCGAAACGGAAGGGCCGCGTCTGCGAACAGCTCGACAAGAGCGTGGCGCAGACGCTCCTGCGTGACGCGACGACCGAAGAACTGAGGGATCTGCCGTTGACCCGCCTCGGCACCCGCAACCGAACCGCCCGAGCCCGCACCAGGGAGATCGGGGTATGCGTCAGCGTGCTCCCACGGGTCTGGTCCGCCTGGAACCCCCGGGTACCCCTTCGCCGGAAACTCCAACTCCGGCTTCTTGTTGGGATCAGTGAATAGGCGATACCAGATCTGTAGGTGAGGCATGTGGAACGAGCGCATGTGCTTCCACGCCGAACCAGTGCTGCTCTCACCCCAACCAATCGGCACCTCGCATACCTTGCAGCATCGCGCCCCATCCTCCCCCTCTGGCTGAAAGAACATCCCCTGCATAAGCCCAAGGACAGTACCCCAGTAACCGACTGTCACATGAGAGCTGTCGCTCGCTCGCGACCGCTTATGCTGTCCACCCGTTCCCCCTCCCCCCCCACGTGGGATGACAGGCCGCCCCGGCGCAGGCGTACCACACTCCGCATGACCCCCCTCCCCCACGCCCTCAGCATCCCCAAAGCGTGCTGCATCCCCACCATCGACCTCCAGCTCCCCCGCACTATTAGTGCCACTGCCGGCACCAATCGCCCCTGCCCTCCCCCCACCAGGTCCACCACGGCCGCGACCTCTTCCCCTCCCTCTCCCCCTTCCCCTGCCCCTCCCCCTCGCCCTCCCCCTTCCCCTCCCCCTTCCCCTCCCCCTCCCCTTGTCCGGTCCATCTCCTGACACCTCGTCCACCTCTTCCTCCGCATTGGGATGCCACTCCTGGTCACCCTCGGCCCCCCCCCCCGTCCACCACCCTGCCCACCGTTCCCCCCCCCATGGGTTGCCCCATGCTCCCCCCCTCCTGCATCGCCCGCCTCCACCTCTTCCAGGAAGTCATCGTCCTCTCCCCCCTCATCCGCACGGCCACCGCTCGCCAAGGCAAAACTCTGGCGGCCGCTAGGGAGAGGGAGGCCTGTCAGAGATGCTCCAGGCATGGCACCGCTTTGGAGCCCGCCACCCTCAACCCTCCCGCCCCCGAAAGGGACGGGACGCCCGTCACGGTCGTAGAACCGCATGATGTGACAGTTCCGAACCCTAAACTATGCGCTACAGCAAGGATTTCGAGTGGGCGAATAGTTCATGTAACTCTAGATCTCCAAAACCCTAACTCCCACGCGAAACCAAGTTCTCGCCTCCGTTTTGTGTTACCTAAACCCTAAGTAATGTTGGGAGAACACGTTTTAGGATGCGGGGAGTGTTTAGACTAATGCGGGTGCTGTAATAAGGTGGCGCGTCTATGGTAGGGATTGTACGAAAGTAGATCTGGAAAGTTCGGGAGGAAATTTCGACCAAATGGTCGAAATTTCCAACCCCCCGCAATTTAGGTCGCGCTGCTGCCGACGGGTAGCAGCGCGACCCGATACCCGACCCGACTTCGGGTATTTACCCGAACTCGGGTATGTTATACTCGACCCGGCGGGTACCCGCTACCCGCCTCGACGGGTAGAATTTCGGGTAGCGGGTATCGATTACCCGCCCGGGTAACCCGGACCCGACCCGCCGGGTATATTACAGGATTTCAAATACCCGACCCGCCCTAAAAGCTGGTCCGGGTACCGGGTACCCGACCCGGTCGGGTAGTTTGCTCAACCCTAACGCCAGGGCCCTGTTTGGAATTCGTTAAGAAATTCGTTCCTCCCGAGCAGGAAAAAAATGCTCGGGCAGGCCCAAAAAAACGTTTCCAGGTAGGGGGGGCATGGGGGGTTTCATGGCAACTATTTTTAAACAAGAAAGTTTTTGCACAAGATAAT